CTAACCTCAACCTTGCTGCATTCACTCTGATATCATTTAATTTTCTTCAGATGGTGGTCTGGTAGGTCACGGCGCGTCAAAGCTCATGTCCACTGGCTGTGTCTCATCGCAGGCTAGGGACGTGCGTGAGGTAGCGCTGTTCGAACGACTGAAGAATGATCTGTCGACGGTACGTGCATCGCCCTTATAGATTTAGTTCCGGCTGATCAGACTCCGTTTTTAATGGCTTTGCTGACAAGTTTAGCGATATACCCAGAGGCTTTCTTCTTTCATTCATTAAGTACACATGTATTTTTAGAGTTTGATATAAAACGCGTCGCATAGATGATATTACCGTCAGCAGAATTGTTTTGGTGATTGCTCAAAATTCGGGTACACAAGTTTTAGAAACCGGACATTGGAAACCTTGGAAATTAATATTTCAGACAGCACTGACGCTTCATCACTTTGCCACAAAGCAACATCATTTGCTAAGTTTGAAGATAAAACATGAAACATTTTATCTACTTTCATCATGACCGGTTGTCCTTTCGAGCCGCTGAGACAGTGCTTCCAAAGTTCTCGATCCTATGCCAGAGTCTGAGTTTCCACAGAAAGCAGCCGGAGTCTAAAGCAGACTGTTTCCATATATTTGAACTTGGCCGTCCCCAGCATTTTCTACCGGTCGGTTGGGCAGACTTGGGCAGTAGTTGCTTCGCCTTCCTTTCCGGAGGCATTCGCAACACATGCCCGTACTATCGCAAATGTGACTTTTTAGTCTGAAGTGACAGCGGCTGTCTTTATTCTTGAACACTGTATAACATTTTTGAATTGTTGATAATTTACTGTCATTATCTGGCGGGATCGCGGGAAAAGTGTTTAAAGCTCTGGATTGTAATTATGAACCAAATGAGATATGCACCGATGATTTTTATTTTCGCTTATTTTGACCTTGTTCTTGATGAGATTATTATGACCGTCAGAATATTTTCCTGAACGTGTGTAAATTAAGATTATACTTATTTTAATGTATCCACTAATGAAACTGGCAGATTTTCAATTTACAAAAAGATTTTTATATTTTTTCCATATTCTGTTCTTTTTTTTCTGAGATCTCTGACGTGTTTTGTGCTCTTTTGCGCTTTATTCTTGTTTTTTCCTACTTTTTTTCTTCTTCCAGCTTCCCGTTTTGAAGATCTTTGTCTTCTCTTGGTTAATTGGCTTGATTTGTAGGACCAGCTGGTGCAGTTTACCGAAGAGGTGATCGATCGGTTTTACAAATTGAGCGGATGTGTCTGTCATTCAGGTAACAAAAATTGCTTGATAATTTTGTACGTCTGTTACTTTTTTCATTTTTTAAATTCAGGTGAAAGTGACCAGAAAACGCCGTTCAGTATTGACTGTAATAAATATTCGGAAAACAGACACGGGTATAAATTTTTTCTTTTAGCTTTATTAATTTGCAGTAAGCATAATTTTATTTTTTGGTGAACTGCTTTAAAACCCCCTTTTAGGCCTGATTGAGAAATAGAGGAACATGGGGACAGAGTGGGAATAGCAAGGAGCATATTTATGCGTGTACTAAAATATCCAAAATATATGGCCTAATTAAATAGACTTCTGGGCTGATGGGAGCAATGGGACGTGCAATCACGATGTAATCTGATGAAATTTTGCCCAATAGCGTATTCCCTTCATGGACAGCAGTTCTGATATCTCAGACGTATAGAGAAAATACTCAGTGACTTGATCTTGCCTTCTTAAGAACGTAGTGAGTTCTGTTTAACGAACGAATCTGCGAAAGAAAATGCCATAGCTGGTTTACTGAATCACAGGTGTATAACTCTGTAACGAACAAGGTCGCTTCAAGCCGCAGATCTTTTCGAACATTCAGGAATCATAAGCTCGAATCGATAACCCAGTTGCTAAGAAAGGCGGGGAAAATTTTGATTTGACGAATGACAAAGCGTCACCAGAGTCTGATAGGTCTGATAGGATGATTATACGCACCTCTTCTGATATTGTAACGATTTCTCACACGCCATATTTTAATCTTTTTACCAACATCAGCAAATAATGACGACATGTATAATGTACCTGAGCAGCAGTTCAATTTTCCGTAGCATACAGTCATATCGGCTTGTTGTACTGCAGTAGCAGCGGAACACTGACGGCTGAACATAACGAGAACTCGCATTTCTCTACCGGGATTTGGACTGTGATAAAAACTTCCGGCAGCCGCACTGAGGAGGTAGTCATGAAACAGTGTTTGAGGCATATCATAGGGAATGGACCAATACATGTCAATGTTGTACTCGTAAGCTTTTTAATAGTTCTTCGACTTTCAGCTTTCTTTACGTAGCCGTTTAATTGTGAACCTTCTTAGAACCAGTTAATTACTTCATTTACTTCTTTCATGGAAATTGAAATCTGTATTTAGAAAATGAGTAAAGAGTTGCTGTCAGATAGGCTTCGCTGTTGAGATTTTCAAAAATGGTCATAATTGCTAATATTATGACGAAATAATTGATAATGGTTGGTTTGACTGACTCGTGTGATGGAGTAGCATATGGTGCTTAGAGCAGAACTCTGGCCCAGGCTTGACTTCATGTATGTATGTATTTATGTTTGTCGGTCAGAGTTTTAAAGATCAGAATGATTTGGTTTCGTTCTTTCTTATGTCTTTTGAAGGTATTTTATTCATTTTGTTTCCATTCTTAGTGCTATTTATGTTAAAATTTTCTCTCATAGGCAAGGTTTGCCACCGCCGGCATGTCGTCATGTCGAGGAATGTCACAAGCTCGGTTTTTGGACCAAATTAGACTATCAACCACCATCACTGAACGAATGCATGCAGCGGTGTTGTCCTGAAACGTCAGCGTGTACGTGAACACGGCCATAGACATTAGCTGTTTCGATTCGGACATTTTTTTCTAGTCACTGTTATCACCAATCACCATAATTGCGAGAAGCAGCGTCTGTTCAACGAGTGCAATGGTAATGAGATCTACGGTGGTGGCCAGTGTGCGGATAAAGCCACGCAGCGCTCTGGCCAACGGCTGTTTAGCTCAGACTCTGAGGAGGAGCTGACAGCACCTAAAAGTCAAGAAGTAAATGATAGAAGTAGTGTGATGTCATTCTTTGTTCACGTGAAGGATTACCGCACGAAAGTGCTTTGAAGTAGCATTTCCTGTGGGTGTTGTTTTTGTCAGTTTAATAAGACGTTCCCTTCTGTTCAGCAATCCAACCGAGTTTTTTTGGGATTCGTAATGTTGACGGCCATTAGTCCTCTCATCTCTAACTGCTCATGAACTTCTTGAACAATGTTAAATTAATAGTTTACACCTTGTGTCAATTTGGATCTAGCCCTCATTTAGATCAAAAGAAATTATTGCTGTAAGGCGCACGCATCAGACTGTATGGCTGTACGTGTTTGGCATGGCAACAGCAGCGAAAACCCTTCTGTTCCCGTTCAGTAATATGCTATCCGTTTTTCAGCTGGTGTGAAATTCTAGATTAAGGAAGTTAATAAACTTGACTCTGAACTTGACACTTCTAAAGTGCAATATAAACTATAAGTCACTGATCCCTTATCTTACAATGTTCTTGTGAAGGCGATACGTAC